CATTAAGACAAAGGCAATGCATTCAACGAGGCACTCTGCATTGCTCGAACAATCTTCTCGAACATGCCTATAATAGACAGAAGAAAAGTTTTTGGGTATGCCTTTGCATATGAAGATGCTTCTTCAAGTGCTCTATCTATGAACAAATGCCTCTTCTGGATACTAAATATGCAACATGTAGTGAAGCAACTCAGCCAGTCACTTTGCTCTTCAGAGGCTTCTTAGAAGCAGCATCCAAAGAGTTCTTTGTTTGAAGTATCATTGAAGCAAAGCACTCCTTTGAAGCTTTGCACAGCCCTACAGGCTTCATGCTGAAAACCACAGATTTACTGTTTTTAACTCCATAAAAAACTATTGTTGCTGTATCTATAATGATTCAGTTGCAATGTATATTTCTATGGTGTTAATAGCCAAAGTTGGATTCCTAGAAACACAGGATAGTCACATATATTTCCATTAAAACCAGGGCTCTCAAAGCCACAAGTGCTGCATGAAGCCAAGCTTAGTAGCCTGAAGGCAGAGACACTGAAGCCTTTTCATATATTGGTGCAGAAGCTGATCAAGAAAGAAATAGAAAAATTTCACAATTGCTATTAAACAAATTTATTACATGAATTATTTAAAAAAACTATTGTCAAGCAGCTATTTATGAAACAATAGCCATTTATTTTGCCCATTTAGTTGGCACCATTTTTCATGAAGCAAAGCATCAATATTTTGTTACTGAATTAATATGCAATATTTTTTGAGATCATATCTAGGATGATATAATATAGGAAACTAATTCTACTAAGAGTGCCCACGCCTGTTTCTGTTTTCTTCTGTTTTCTAAGCAAAAAGATCTTTCGATTCCTTTAGTGTTTTGTTCGTCTACTTTCCATTCTCTTTTCTTGGTTTGCAAACTCCTTCCTTTTTTTCCCTTTGCCTAACAGAGAGACTTATGGTTGGTTGCTCACTCATTGATGCTCCGATTCTTTGTTGGTAGAAGAACAGCACTGCATCGTGGCTGCTTCTGAATCTCTTCTCCTTGACTGCTTCCTCGTTCCTTCTTTTAGGCAGCCTCTCAGCCTATCTTCCCTAGCTGGATTCCTTGTTAGGGCCAGCACCATCTCAGAAACAGAGCCTGCCTCAGATTGCGAAAGTGGCAAGAGTTCCAGGAAAGTGACATGCTCATTGGAAAAGTTTAGCCCATCTATCCAAATCCTGCTATTGTTGGGAGATTGGCTGCGACAGGCCAAAGCTTGAAGCCAGTTCTTTTTCTGGAGAGCTTTCAATAGCCCAACCTTTATATCTACACGTTCTCGGAGACCTGGCCTTGCTGAGAAGCACCTGCATATTTTTATAATTTGATCATGATAACAGAATAACAGAGTTAGAAGGGACCTTGGAGGTCTTCTAGTCCAGCCCCTTGCACAAGCATTAGACCCTATACCATTCTGGACAAGTAGTTGTCCAATCTCTTCTTAAAAATCTCCAATGATTGAGCACCCACAACTTCTGGAGGCAAGTTGTTCCACTGCTTAATTGTTCTCTCAAGAAATTTCTCTGTAGTTCTAGGTTGCTTCTCTCCATGATTAGTTTCCATCCATTGCTTCTTGTCCTGCCTGCTGGTCCTTTGGAAAATAGGATAACCCCTTCTTCATGAGAGCCCCTCAGATATTGGAACACTGCTATCATGTCACTCCTAGTTCTTCTTTTCACTAGACTAGATATACCTAATTCCTGCAACCATTCTTCATGTGTTGCTCTTCTCTGCACTCTTTCCAGAGGCTCAACAGCTTTTTTATACTGTGGTGACCAAAACAGGATGCAATGTTCCAAGTATGGCCCTCTCTCTCTTTCTCTCTTGATAGATAGATAGATAGATAGATAGATAGATAGATAGATAGATAGATAGACAGATAGATACATAGATGCCTCCGTCAGAGCCTGACTCTGAGGATAACATGGAGTTCCCTGTTGAGGCCCAGGAGGGGGTATCTGTGGGCTTCGGAGGACTGTGGGGAGGAACAGGCTGAAGCAGGCCAGGGCCCTTCAAGTTTGGGACAGGGAAGGCAGAGCTCAGGCGAGGAGCAAGGCCCCTCCCCACCAGATCCCAGAGCAAGGACAGCAGAGAGGAGGAAGGAACAATGGAGGCAGGCTCACTTGCTCGGGAGGAGAGCGTCACGCCCCACTCCACAAGACACACCTGGGGAGTAGGTATTTAAGGAGACGCTGTGGGGTGGGGCATTTGCCGGGAACAAACGTGAACACTTATGATGTGAGCTCTTGTAACTGGACTCTTTGTATTTTGGATCAAGTTTGTTTCCTGCTGAGTTCTCCTTGCTGTCATCAGTTTTGCATTTTGCAGGTTACAGGCAAGCTGGGCATTGAAAAAATCATACTTTGTTTCTTATCTGTTTTACTTTAAAGAACTGTTTAAATCCGTGGACTGTTTTATTGAACTTGTGCCAGCATATGTGGGGGCTGTTGGGTGAATGTTGACCAGCTAATTGCTTTGCCTCCGTTCGGGACCCTGGGTCATCACAGATAGATAGCTGTTCTGGTATTCCGGTTTGTAATATCAAACAAATAATGGGCAAGTGCAACAATTTTCATTGGTCTCAATTAAAGAAAGATATGCCTAACTGAAATCACTTTGAAGAATTGCTTAAAGAATTATTTGCCCTTTCAAAATCCACTGAATTTGGTGTATTACATGAAAGCCTACAATACCTTGAAGTGCAAATAAGTGATTTCTACCAGGAAGACCAGAATTTATCTTGGAGAATCACAGCAGTCAAATGGCATGTATTATTAAGCCAAGGATTAGTATATATCATGTACACTCAAGTTTTCATTGATGCCACTGATGTCTTAAAGACTGGGTTTTGTAGAAACAAAAAAAATGTCTAATTAAACAGCATCCAACAGCTCTATGTCCTTCTAAGCAAATATCTAAAAGTCATACTATTTGTTTCGGCCTCAAACATCTATTTCTCATAACAATCTATTTCTGATTTGAAAAAAATCTAAGATGTTGACTATCATTCTTTTTGCTTTAAGATATAGACCACTTTCCTTTTTTACCAATTTTAATGACTGGATTTTGGCCCTCCAGATGTTTCTAGCATGGGAAAAAAAATCTATTCAATAATGCTTCCATTATTTTGCGATTTATATTTAAATCTTGGAAGGCTTTAAAAAAATTTTTTTGTTTTCTCATAGTTAATAAACAGATAATTATATATGCAATAGAAGGCAATTGGTCTTAATGCTCTTCTCAATCCAAGAGGCAAAGTTGAGGTAATAGCTAAATAGCAGGTGATTTTCCAGACTTCTGCATTTTTCCACCATATCATTCATATAAAATACTGAATAGCAATGGGCTAAAATACTGCCTTGTTAAACACTCTTGGAAGTCGGCACCATAGCAGAGAGCTGACCTTGGTTGTCAATCTGATTTGAACATAGATGTTATCACGCAACGTTTTAATAAGAGCCAGCAGCAATCTCCAATTTGTTCTTCAGTTGTTGTCTAGAAACAAAATCAAAAGCTGTTTTGAAGTCAATCAATGCCACACACAGAGCTCCTCTGGGAACTGATAGATATTTTTGATATGTTGTAAAACCAAGCACAACTCCACGGTATTCCACTATTCATTTTTTTAAATATTCTAAAGCTAAAAAAATATAGTAGTGCTCTTGAGTTAATTTCATGAAAATTGGTTCATATGAATTTAACACCCACAGACTGAATCAGGTGCAGATTGTTTGGATCTTGCTAGGAAATAGCAGTTCAGAAGTTAGCTACATTAATTACTTGCTAATAATTAGCAACTCCACTTCTGTCATGGCCCAGGATTCAGACTTTGATTCTGAAGAAGCTGCTCCACTTGAACCTGTGGAATATCAACCTTAGGGGGCACCAAGTCAAGAATTACTTGAGGCTGCTCAAACACAGGTATCATCAAAAAAGCTGCAGCAATCAGATGATGAGGCACGGATACCAAGCCCTTGGAGTAGAGAGAGTAGAGAGTAGAGAGCAGATTGAAGACACACAATGAGGGTCCTTGCCAAGCAGGAGAATAACTAACCTAATTAAAGTTAGCTGGCTGCAGCTGATTTAAGACATACTCCTGACTCATGTTCCTCTGCTGGAAACAACTCTTGATCTCCTGCTCTGGCTTGTTGTTTCTATTCTGCTTGTGATACCTGAAACCCTGATCTTTGGACTGACTGACTTGAATTCCTGAATTTTGGAATAGATCTGACTTCTCTTCTGTGATGTCCCTACTGAAAGTGATACTATGCAAGCAAATGTTCTTCCCCAGAGACTGTTTTGATTTACATTTCTTTCCTCATCTGTTATTATCTACTCAGCCTTGTGAAAATTGCTATTTTCATCTAGCAACTGAATGTATATGAGTTTGAAACCTAAAATAGGACAGCCTCAAAAAACATGAACATAAATTCTACACTTAGATACCACAAAATGGACAACATTGGAATCAATCAGAAAATAGATAATGGAGAAGTTCAATCCAATCAGCCAGGACCAGGCACACATTGTGTAATAAATCATGATATATTGCTGTCAAATCCATAGGCTAAGTATAGAAAATTTTAACAGCAGCGGGTTGTGCAATGCAAAACAAATAAGTGCAATGAACGAAGCACTTCCTCAAAGCTATTTTGCAAAGCAAAACAGTCACATTGCTTATAAGAACAAAGATAAATGAACATAATGCTTCACTTTGCTTTGCTTCATGGCCCTCACAGCTTCTGCTGTAGCACCTCCCAAATCATGTATCCTTTGAACTGCTCACCAACAGATCTATCAAGAAATGTATATAATACATAGCGCACCTCCTCTATACTGCAGGTGCAGAGGTTGCCTATAAATTCTCAATGTAGAGTAAAATTTGATTAAATTTATGCCATTCCAAAACATTTTGCAGTACTAGTAGCTACTGTGTATATTTTAGTTAAATCCAACTATAATATATAATGTAATTTACCTGTATTAGTTCTTTAGCTGCTCGAAATCCATATATCTTTTTTGTTGAGTATAAAATTCAGCATTTCTGAAGGAAAAGGAGAAAAGAAGAAATTATGCTTACATACAAGGGAGTCCAATAAATTCTCACAATTATAGACAAGCCTTCAACCTTGAATATAGAACACTTGAAACAATTATTCCCAGTGTACTCACACTGTTTATCTTTAAAGCTTTATGCAGCAATTTTATTTCAGAATTGTTTTTCTTAGAGACTTACATACACCATAATAGGATGTATTATGAAATCTATGTCTTTCCACATAAAATTCAGAATGGGTAAAATAAATCAGGCTTACCAACTAAATGGCTAGATGGTTATGATGTAAAAAATAACTCTGAACCAAATCTACTATTTGTTATGAATATTTGCTGAAACTGATGCCATTAATTGAAAAGCTATATAAAAAAATCCAATTATTTATTTTGTACAACAGTCAAATTAGCAAAATGTACTGTTCCAAAGTTATACAGAAAGTCAACAGTAAACTTAAAAAACAAAATATGTTCACCTATTTGTTCTGGACATCTCTAATGACCTCTCATCTGCAATATACCCATGAAAGTTAATATTTAAGCTCAGTCAGACCAACCATATCATCAAATGGGATGGGTGAAATGATCTGCAAAATTGCCCTTTTGCTTCCAGATAACTGTCATATCTGGCAAAGCAGATGAACTGTACATTCCTGTGTTTTCCAAGAAACTTTAGTACACTAATGGAATGTAAGAATAGAACAGTCTAGTACATGCTCCATATGCCTCTAGGATTAAGAAATGGAAGACAGGAAGAACATCTTGCAGCACTGTAGGACTGCTGGAGTGTTAAAGGCAAATATTGTAAAATACATCTTTCCTTTGTTTAACCTCCTTTATTGTCCTCCAACAGTTCTTATTTTTTTAAAAAATAGCTGTTTCATAACTTAATTGTAGTTCTTAATAGGTTTCTCACATTATCAAAGTTCTTTCATGGGGACTAAATTAAATATGTCATACAATATTTCTTTAAATGAACCACTATTTCAAAAGCAAAAACCAAATTCAGAAGAGAAGTATTAATCTTTTAGCCCACAGTAGTAATGTTTTGGAAATATTCCAAACCACATTCGTTTGATTTTATTTAAAAAAACCCAGGTTAATAATATAAATATTGGGGCCATTTTGACCTAGTCAGGAAGAATTTTATGAAAAAGAAACACACTCTGCCCATGTTATACCCCTCTGACTTGCCATGTTACTATTAACATACTACATGAGGCTGGACTGGTATAAGATAAGAAGTTAGATATAAAAACCCAACTAGACTTTTCAGAATACACCCAGTTGTTCCCCAATTGCTGACATTTAGAGGCATTTAATCCTGAAAGAAAGCAAAGCTGGAAGAAGTTCTGATGGAGTGATTTAATTGGAAGCTGATTTATTCAAATACCATCAAAATAGATATGAACAAAGCAGGTTCCCTCTTTCTCCATTTCTAAAAGAGAAACAAAACAGCTGCACTCTTTTGCTTTGTTTCTGAGGTTTCTTTCAGCAATTTCTGCAGCACTGCACTGACATTTATGAACGGCAATTCTCACAAATCTTTGTTCCATTCTCCTGAAAAAGAAAAAGGTTATAGCAGTTGGGGTCTTCCTCATGCAAAAATATGGATAAATGGAGCTCTGTTTTTCTAAATCTTACTCTGGATCCAAGAACTGCATTTATTTTTATTTATTGTGCCTTCAAGTCAGTGCTGACTTTTGACGACTGCCTGGACAAGTCTCTGCCGTTTTCTTGCCAGGATTTTGCAGAAGTGGTTTTCTTTTGCCTGTTTCCTAAGGTTGAGAGAAGGACACTGGCTTTGTGCCTAAAGCAGACTAGAACTCACAGCCTCCCAGTTTCTAGCTTGGTACCTTATCCACTACACCAACTGGCTCTCTGTGAACTGCATAGATTACCTTAAAAGGACTACAGTCAAATGAGCCATTTATAGATTGATAATTGATTTCATTTATTTCAGCTTTCAATAGAGATTAGGAGAACAACCTAAGGAGAACAGCCTAACAACCATAGCAGACATGGCGATGTTATTTTTATGATCTGTCTATCTCTTATCTCTAATAGACAACCTGCAATCTATTGGAACATTGTTTCAAGAATATTTTCTTACCTAAACAGAGAAACAGAATAACCAAGGACAAAAAGCAGCGGGAGCAAGAGTGATCCAGTTTGGGTCCAACACCAGGATTTAACTTCTCTCTACCAGAATTGTAGAGAAGAGAGAAGTACAGAGGTAGAGAGAAGTTCCCTGAGGATGGGCTCCAACATGAATCCAAAAGCTTGGAAGACTAAACCTCTGGTCCTAGTGACCGACCAAGATGAGATCCTGCAACATTATCCTGGGACACGTATTTTTGCTTTCATTCGTGGATCAAGAATGACTTCTGATTTTCTGTCAGTGTGATGGCAGCTCAGTGCTCTCCAGCAGCTAACGGTGGGACTGAAGGGGTAGACTAGAACTGGATTATTTGGTCTTCAGTGGCCATCGGAGTTACGTAAACTTCAGGTTAACCTGAATAGATGGGGGGATGTCAAATTTCTCTTTCTCCCCTCTTATATTAAAGCAAGCCATGTAAGAGGGAAGAAAGAGAATCACTGCCAAGCTTTCAAAATTGGGTTATTACTGTATAGCCTACAATGATAAGGCAGAGTTCCAGTATTTATGTGGCATCAATTTCCTCATCTGATCTACCCCAAAATGTAGTTATAATATTTGTGATATTGGGAATATCAAGGTTCCCAATACTATAGATAATTCTTACCACACTTAGCTAAACTGCTAGGATTCTATTTCAGAAGGGAACTGTGGCAACGAGATACAAATCCTTAACATAACTCTACTATTACATTTGCAAATGCCTGGTGTGACCTTGATCACCTGATCCTTTGGGAAAATATACAGAAAAGGTAGAAGTCAGCTCAGAGTAGAGATCTGTCTCTTTTTTTAAAAAATAATTTCATTAAAGTTTACAAGTACAAAGATAATTAAACTAATACAAACTAAAGAAAATATAAAGAGTAAATTTAAGAAAAAGAAGAATGCAAAGAGATAGGAAAAGAAAAGAGAAAAAAGAAGATATATAAAAGATGACTCCCTCTCCTTTCATAAACAATTCCATATATAAAAACAATTTCAATGACTTAACACTTTGTCTAGTATTTTATTAAAAAGTCTCTTCTTCCCATATTTCATCCCTTCTCAATTACCAAACTGTAAAAACTCATAATTCACTGGACTGAAGAATCTCCAAAGTAAGTGTACTGCAGCATTCGGCAAAAGATGCTTCACTAAGAATTGTCAATGTACAGAGCCATAGGACTTTGTGAGTGAGAAAGGCGATGCCAGTTTTCTTTCACGATGTTATGAAATGGTCCTTCTGAACAAGTAACCAGTCGTACACTTTGTGTAGAGCAAATAAAGCATCAGAACCTTGCACGGGAAATAAAGAGTTTAGTTTCTGTCAGTATTTTCAGGGGGGGGGGTAGTTCTAAAAAACTTAAGCTACAATAAGAGTTACACATAATTGTTTCTATTTCAAGATATAGACTTTTGTCAACTGAACATTATAAAAACATTAAGGACAAAGATAAATAAATACTTTAAAATAATAGTTCATTTCCCTAAACTTAGAATTACTTGGAGCTCTTCCAGTGCTGCATTGCCCTTAGCGATTCTTGCTCTAATTCCACCTCTTCTTTCTTCAAAGGCTTAACTGCTTTTAAGGGGTGCTTTTGTGGATACACAAAAAATTTAAAAGCTTGTTCTGACAGTTTTCCCTTTGGGTTCACCTCAAAACAAATACACTTTTATCAAACTGTAAGATAAAGTATATATTCTGTAATTTAAGAGAACTTTGTTATGGGAAAAGGTTAGAATAAATTTCTTCTCAAGTTGACAGAGCAATTGCATTTTAATTAAAAGAGTTTTAACTGCAATGTGCTTAATAGTACTTCAACTTCTTAATTTAGGTGACCAAATGAATCCTAGTAGATGGTGTTTGTGGACTTCCTTTGACCTTTTTTCTTCTTCTATAAAACTCTTATAATCATAGAAATTCCAACTTAGGTCAGATATGGAATAATGTTCATCATCTTCAGTGGAGCTTTAAAAAGGTGAAAGCTAAGTCTTACTCAAGTTAAGTTCAGCTTCCATGTTGTTTCTTGGCAGCAACAGAAAAATGGTTCATTACTGCTTCCAGATGTATGTTTCAGTTCATGCAACCTAATGCATAATGGTGATTTCCCAGAGATCCCCAACTAAATACTAACCAGGTATTATGGTGCTTAACTTTTTCAAGGTCAGCCAAGGTCACTTAAGTGCTAGCACCTGTTAAAAAGAATCCTTTCCAGTCCCAAACTACTGATAATAGAGCTGGAATGTATTCAACTCATTTTTACACAAATGGCAATTGTCAGGCCCAAGCCCAAAGACAACACAGTGAAATCCAACTAGCTCCAACCCTTCGCTTATACCTAATAGACAGATTCTTACCAGACTAAAACTAAAACTCTGTAGCCTAATAGATATATCCTGAGAGATTCTGCGATATGACTACCCTGAACTTCTTCCCTTCTCCCATTTAGCTCGGAACACCACAGTATTTTAATTTGGAATTTTGGAATTTCTTTCTGGAATGGATCTCCTCTTGCTGGGAAATTCTGATGCTCCTGCTACGATTTCCCCCCACTCCTTCTCCAGATGCACCTTCCATCACAGCAATAGAGACCCATGGGTTATAAAAGCACATATACACATCAGCTCTTACCCCCTCAATCTCTCTCTCAAAACTTTTGTCTTCCAATTTCTGATATTGAAAATCAGCAGGATAGAAAAGCACTTAGATTACAGGCAAGCAAACAGCAGATAAGAGAAAGATTTCACATGCTTTAGTCAACTGGTCCAGAATTCAGCAGCAGTAACAGGTATACCTAGGTATGCCTATGTAACACCTCTGGCTTGTTAGCTGTACTGATTGACAATTTGCTTCC